TGCGCAATCCCATTAGAATGTAATTATTCTAATATTGTTACTATTTCTGCAGTGTAAAATACTATAGAGTTATAAGACATGTTTCCTAAAATCACTATTTGCCATTACTATTTATTTTTAGGAAATTAGCAAAATCTCCTCCTTCCATAAACTCTAACACTAAATAAATTTATGCTGAACTTTGGAAACTAGCAATCATATTTATCAAACCAGGATGCTGAACCCTTGACAAAACCTCTTTCTCAATAAACACTTGATATTGTTTTTTTTCCTAGTCAATTATTACATTATGAACCTTAATCAGCAATCTTTTCTCCATCGCTTTTATTGCTACTAATTATCCATTTGCTTTGCATTTTGCTAACATCACATCTCCATAAGAACCAGATCCTATTTTCTCTATAATTTCATAATCATTTAGAGTATTCATTTTTGTATAAATAAAATTAATTAACAAAAAATCATTACTAATCGTGCAAATGAATAATTGTGATAAATAGTTATTTGTTCTCTAAAGATTGTGATTTATTTCAATCATTTAATTTTAACCTATTTGTACCAATAAATTAAATTTTTAATATTATGCATAATTTTGTATAAATAATTATAAATATCATAAATTTTTTATTATAAAAGAAATCTTAAAAATCTTTTAACGAAAATATATATATTTGTAATATATTTAGATGATATTATATATATTACAAAATTATTGATATATATATAATTTATAATTATTTTTTAAATCTAGATCAATTTTCATTATTTTATATATACATTTATCCAAATCACACAAAGTATTAATATTTATAAAGTAATTATTTAATTTGAAATTTAATGTAGGCTTACTAAAAAAAGGTTTTTTTTTGAGAAAATATTTTTTAAGGTGTTTTTCATTGTAAACATTTAACATCATGATATCTGCAACCCAATTTACTGCTGCTAAATTGAAATTTCAAAGGAAATTAAATATAAATTTATTTAAACTACAGATATTATAGGAGAACCAGATTTAAAGTCTTTTTTAACACAAGTGTTTATACCTGACTAATAATTTGATAGAAAAATATTGCTATTGACTCGCAATATTTTCCAATCCAACTTTAAGGATTATAAATTATAATTTCATTTTTTTTTCAATAACTAGTTTGATGTAGTTTTCTTTCAGAGGCTTGCCTACCTTATATATAAGAAAAGGATTGTGTTATTATTTAAACTTTAAACAACCTAAAAGTTATAAAATTTCATAGATAGAATTAGCTAATTCTCCTATTAGTTGAATTGCATTTATAGATGTATTTAGCAATACCTCTTTGGATTTGAATCATCATAACTTTAGTTTTATTTTATAGATTTAAGAGAGAATAAATGTTAATATATATAACTTTATCTATTGATAATTTAGTTATTATTATGTTAGAAATTATCACTTTTCTCTTATGTTTTTTTATTAACTTTAGACTGCATCTTAAATTATTTCCTATGCCTTTTAAGTTTCCTACTTCTACTCTTAAGGTTATTTTTATTTATCCTTTTATTATCCATTCCTTCCTCTTACCATTGCTTACATCAATCAAATAAATATAATTTTTTATTAATTTAATATATATAATGGTAAATTCGATATATTGTTGGATTTTGAATGAGATTATTAATTTAAAACTATTATTAATTAGGTTATTGAATGATAAAAATATTAAAAGATAGATTACAAATTATTAGCTGAAACGAAATAGATTTCATACTATAAATTTGATAATTTAAAAAGCAATATAAAGAATAAAGAACAGAATTGAGTAAATTAATGAATTGATAATGGTAGAAAGGAATGAGCGAATTCATAGAATAATAAAAAAGAGAGAGTAATGATAGTCAAGATGAAGCTAATAAATAATAAATATGATGAAGATTCAATTTATAATAAATTTAAATAAGAGAATAAAAAATTTTCTTATACATTAATAATCTTGTTTAAGATAAAGTCTGGATTGATTCTTCAATAAAATTGTGTAAATTATAAATGGGTAATAATATTAATTAATATAAATGGACAATATATATAAGTTTAAGGCAAGTAGTTCAGTTGGTCATTTAAAAAGTCTTAACAATGACAAACAATTCTATTCTGAAGAGGAAAGCAGCAAGAAAGAGGAAGAGGAAAAGCAATTGAAGAAGTAAAGCAAGCCTCCTAGTAAGATGTCTCAATTCAGTAAGAATGCAACTGGATATTAAACAGATGACTCTGACAAAGAGACTCCAAAGAATAATAAGATAGGACCTTCAAGTATAGATAAATTGAATTATTTTAGGTCAGAAAGTGTCAAAATTTCGAAATTTGGTAAATGCTAAAAAAATTGAGGGTGACAATGATGATCCTAATTTCGATGACGATGACGACAAGCCAACTACAATCTAATAATAGATTCAACATGTTTAGTAGCAACACGAAGATTAATATGGCGTCGAACAATAGGCTAGTAAAATGCAACAGAAATATGCTAAGGGGGATGTTGGAAAGTCTACAAAAATGAAGTAAGAGAGAAGATAATATTAGACATTCAAATACATAATAGACTATGGAGGCAAATTCAGATGTAGAGTAGATGAAGAATAAACAGCATTAGGAAGGGAAGTTGAAGAATCACCCATTTAGACACCTTATTTATGGTCCAAGTATAGGAGAAAATTCATTTAATAAATTCTTATAACTAACTCAAAGAGGATTAGTTTATGCAAGGAAATGCTTAAAAGGGCCTTCAGAGAAATTTATTAAATCGAAAATGGTTTAATTATAGGAATGCCCAATTGTAAAGGCGAAGACTTTGTTGTTAGATTTGGATGAAACTTTAATTCATAGTTGTTCTTTGAGAGAGAATCCTTAAGTTACAGTAACAGCATTTGGAGATTATGGAGAGGAAGCAAAGGTATTTTATTAAATATATTTTAGATTCATTTCAACATTAGGCCATTTTGTACATGGTTTTTACAATAAATGAATTAGTTGTATACAATTTATGTATATACAGCTTCGTCATCTGCCTATGCGAATGCTATAGTAAATTATTTGGATCCTAAAAGACAATGGATCATGGGGATTATGTCAAGAGGTAATTGTATGGAAACAAAGAATGGGTTTTTTATTAAAGATCTTAGGATTGTTGGGAATAAATAATTAAAGGATATGGTGATTGTGGATAATTTAGCTCATTCTTTTGGATTCCAAATAGAGAATGGAATTCCGATTTTGGAATGGCACAATGATTAAAATGATCAAGAACTAAAATACATGGCAACTTACTTGATGGAAGCAGCTGAACAAGAGGATATCAGATAATTCAATACACAAAGGTTGAAGCTAGATCAACTTATTGAATATAATTTAGACTGATTGATTGATATACATAATATATATTAATTTATCAATGGGTTCTTGCTGTTCATCTAATAAGATAGTTAAGGAAACATTTGATTATCCAGATGGAGGCGTCTATATTGGAGATCTTGAAAACCATCTTCCAGTATATATATTTATATCAAGTTTAGCATGGAAGAGGGACCATAAAATGGCCTAATGGAGCATTATTTGAAGGACAGTTCATTGATGGCAAAAAGACTGGTAAAGGCGTATTTAGGTGGAATGATGGTTCCTATTATGATGGATATTTTGTAAATGATGTCTTTCATGGTTATGGTGAATATTGTTGGACTGACTCTAAAATCTATAAAGGAAACTGGTCAAATGGTGAAATGGAAGGAGAAGGAGAAATGCTTTATCCAGATGGCAAAATTTATAAGGGTATTAAACTTGCATTTATTTTCAGGCTGTTTTAAGTCAGATAAAAAGGATGGCCAAGGTGAAATGATGTGGCCTAATGGTGATAAATATATAGGTTTGTGGAAAAAAGGATAATAACATGGCAAAGGAGTACTTATAGATTATAAGGGTAATAGAGAGGAGGCTATTTGGAATAAAGGAAAGAAACAATGATCGATTTTATATTTATAATAACCTGTGAGTAACTAAATTAATAATTCGAAATAATTAAATTAAATTCAAAATTTATATTTACATCTTATGATCTCATTCTTTCCAAATATAAAATAGTCCTCATCATTCTTTATTAATCTTATTGGAATCTCATTACCAAATTAATCCAATCTATATATTGTTTGATATTCTTACGATTAAATCAAAGGTTTTTCATCAGGTTTTAGAAAATTAAACTAATAAATCTGATTATTGTCATTTGGATACAAAATAACTTTGGGTATATCCTTATCATCATAAACAACAATAGGTCTAATAAAAAATCTATTTTAAAATTAGATCTTATATTGGGCTAATTAATTGCATTCCACCCAATCCCATAATCCCAATGGTTATTCTAAAGTTGATACTATCAAATGTCTAGAATCTTTTGTGAATTAACTGGATGTTGTGTGAGTCTTCTTGCTTCCACATATTGTCACCAGAGAATCTGTCCCATAAGAATCAAATACACGGGCACACTTTTAATATATTTCACTTTTTACACATTGTCTAAACCAGTTGTTGTAACATATCTTCCAGTCTCATTATATTTGCATTATGTTATTTGCATTGAATGTGCCAGAATGCAATTAAATGGTAATTTTTAACGAATATCCCAAAACAATATAGTTTTTTCATTGGCTGCACACACTTCATTCCAAATATTGCTATCTCCGCAATAAGTAAATTCAGTGTTTATTTAATGACTAATTATTTATTTTTCCATATCTAATATTTATATGGATTATCCGAAAAGGTAAAGTTAATTCCGATTGAAGCTATCATGATGACTGAAAGTGCAGCTATATAATAATTTCTCACTCTCTAATTCAAAAGAAGTATTAGTCTTATAATTATAAATAACTATTTTATTGTTTTTAAATATCTAAGCAACAAGTTGGTTTTTACAACATTACACATCCAAACACATACTTTCTTGTTTCGGAATTTCCAATTTTTCAAAACCTGCTAAAATTTAGTCATTCGCTTCCTATTGCATTTTCCCGCTCCTTGTTAATATATTATTTAAAATATTTAATGACTTCACTAAAATATATAAAATATCATTTAATTATTTAGTGTATAAATGTAAAAAATTAAACTGAATGTATGAATACATTGGGATAGTCAAGAATGAAGTCTTGCCTAAACGGAGGTATTCAATTAATAAAGGTTAGTTTTTTAGCATCCTTTTAAAATACCATTTAAAAACATGTTCATTCCCTAACCATAAAATAAATTAAATTAAATAATGTTTTATTTAACCAATTGATATTAACTTTTAAATCGTTTTTCTACCGTATTAAAAAATATATCATTTTAATCTTATTTGTTATATATACTATATAAAGTATCAACCAGTCCAAAAAAATAACAAAAATTGTATTCTGAACAATAATACCTGTTTAATTTCAATTTAATTAATAATTCTAATCTTATTTTTATGAAATCAAAAGATAAATATTTCATCAAATGTATTGAAATTGTCTATTATATCTCTATATTTTTTTTTCATGATAATTTTTTGTTTACTCTATAATAAATTCTTAGAAAATATTATGAATTGAAAATCCTTAATTTTGAATAATGCATTTTCATAAATTAAGATTTTTTATATCAATTTTCTATACAAAATAATTTAAATGGTAATTATATAAATGTAATTGGACAAACATTTATATGAGGATTTTTATTTGTATGTTTCTATTTGTAATTATTTTAAGTTCATTTCCCAATTTGCACATAAGTTAAGCAAAATAAAATTATATTAATTATTTATAGAATTTCAAATAAAGTGCTTCATTCAACTGAGATTCTTAAAATTTAATTATTCTAAGAATCATAAACAGATTAAGATTATTAGATATTATAGATAAAATTTATAATTGCAAATTAATGAAACATCAACATCTAGTTAATTAATACTATATTCCAAATATAAATTTATGTATATTATATTTGAATAAGCAATATTTAGATAAGAATAATAAATGGTAAAACAGATTTTCATTAATTAATTGAACAAATATTATTTGAAAAAAATCAATAAATAAAGCATGATATTTCTAGTTAAAAAATCCAATTGATATTGAAAAACACAAAATGCTTGGAAATTTTGTATAAATAATAAAAAAAGAATATTTTGTTGTTTCTTATATAAAAAATCACTTTTGAATAAATTTAAATTTTTTAAAAGTAAAAGATTTCAAATTAATACATATGGATGATAAATATTGTAACAAATGAAGAATGTCACTAATTGTAACCCAGATTAATTTCATTGCTCATATTTAGGTATTGAATATGATATTTAAATAGTACTAAATAATTTTATAAATTGATTAATTTATAATTGTGTTTATTAATTAATTAATAAATTTATTCCTAACTTATAATATATATATATATATATGATTGATTAAAGAGCAATTTAGATTAAATTAAGATGCTCACTTAAAAACTAATTTCCTATTATTATTTCTAAGGATATTTATTATTTAGCATTTATATTTAAATGAATGTTAATTCATATGGTTCATTTTAATAAAAATGATGAAAATTTTAAATGAAGTGAGTTTGTAAGGGTGACCCACTACTTGTAGAAACTAGTATGAACTAATCCCATGATGATAGCAATTTTATCAATTTTCCTGACACCATCAAATTAAACAGCAAAACGGGGATAATCAATTAAAGGGCATTATTTACAGCATGCACCTTACATTTCAGATACTCTTGCAAAGGCTTCACATGCAGTTCTGGTATTAATAATTTAACATCTTCCTTATGTAAGACCATCTACATAATAGTTCTTAGAAGTGTTAAAAATATCCAAACATGCAGTACAACTCATAACACTGAAAATAGATTCTGGAAAATTGTTAAGATCTGGTTTCAAAATTAGCTAATAATTCTTCTCAATTGGGGAAAAAATCTTCAATTTTGGATACGAAGAACAACAATGTTGATTTAAGATATCACATGGATTTGGAAAGGTTTGAAGAAATTCAAAAATTTATTTACCATTTACAAATACTTTTCCTGTACTACCAGGCCAAAATTCTAATTGTACATTGTTATTTTTTAAGATATAAACTTCTTGTGGGTATTCATGTTTATCGCATTCACACATCCGACAACAGTAACAAATACATACACAAGTTAATTCAACTCTCACAGAAAACTCTAATTCTCCTATTCCTTGTATGTCAAATTAAGTATGTTAACTAAGATGACCATATCCACAACAATTTTATACATCCATTTTAAATTAATGTACAAATTCCACTTAATCTGGTATGTTTATGTCTTTAAGCAACTAATCCAATTCATCTGTTTTACTTCCATATATCTATAATTATTTTTAATTATACATTTTAGTCCATAATTTATTAATTCAATTGCTAATAAGGGACATTTGGTTGATATTCAATTTAATCAACGATTTTGTTCATCTGATTTATTAATTATAGAAAATATTTTTACAATCCCATTTAAATTCTCATGTTACGTCATAAATCTAAGACATAAATAAAAAAAGGAAATTTAATCCAGATTATATAATCTGGTTTTTAAATTTGGTTTATCCATCTTTATTGGATATTGTAAAATATGTGTTAAGATTATTATAATCAAAATTAAATTTAAGTTGAGGAAGGAACACTATTTGATAATTTTTGTTAAAATTTGAACAATTTTCTTAATTGATATCCTTTATAACATAAGCAACCATGAATAATACCGATAGCTAATAAGAACGCTATATAAATAATAGAACTTTAATTAAATATTTAATTACAAAGTGTCTTTGATAGATTTCTTATTTTGACAATCATCTTCTTCGCTTTGCCATTAAGATTTCTAGCATATGTTCTAATATAAAGGAGAACCTAGTGCAATTACAGTGGCTATTAAGTCTGAAAGAAATGTTAAACAATTCCCTAATATCCAAATAGTAATAATTAATAGGGCCCTTTTATTTATAAAGAGACAATACAGAATCATATTCAAGATAAATAATACAATACTACAATAAAATTAATTTAAATACCTGCAAATCCAAATAATTGCTGATAATTAGCAGCCTTCATATATAAATTATGGTATTGCTCTTCCCAAGATAAATCCTAAGAGTAAAATACTACCTAGACTTTAAAAGATTTTCAGACTATCATCATTTATATAATTTACGCTCTTAATTCTTTTTTGCATTTTGTACAAGCATAAATAGGTTTACCAGTAGGAATTTCATGTGGAAGATCGTGACTTTCTATGAAAACAGCAGAAAGTTAAGGAATTGGTTTCAGGTTTAGGTTTCTTTGGCCAGACTCCTCACTTTTTTAACTATCCAAAGGATCTGTAATTTAGAAATTACTATATTTTACATTGAATAGCTTCTTGCTCAATGCTTTAAGTTTTTTGATTGATCATTTTTTTTTATAGGAATGAAATTGTTTATAATTATTACGCAAAAGTATAAATATAATTTTATTGTTGTGATGTATGATATTTCATTTATCAGTTAAGAAATATTATTCATTAAATTATGTAACTATATGAGTATCAATTATATAATCATTATGAAATGCTACATCCCTAATTATATCTAAAATTTTCTTAAATAATTATAAAATCCACAATATATATTTTTAAGTTTTATTTTATTAAAGTTTTATATTTTATAATAAATAAATTATCATTTATTCTTTAATTGTTAAAGAATTAACTTCTTCTAATGAAGCAATTAACTTTGTTTTGCTAATAATTCTTAAGCCTTTTACCAAACTCTTTCCTCTTCCTCTTTTTTTTGACTATTTGTTTACTTCTCTTTTTTATGTCCTCTAGCACTATTAATTCTATCTTGTCTATATTTACAAGCACTATCTTTCTCATTTTTTAAATCCAATTTTTAAATATGTAAGATTTCAGAACTCTATTTTATTATTTAACTTTGATTCTTTCTCATATCTTATTAATCACATTTCTATTATTATTTCATCATCACAGAACTATAAGCCTTCTATTATTGTCTTTCTCTAAATTCTTAAGCCTTTTTTTATTTATCATGTTCTTTAATAGCTTAATTTAATTTATATTATTCTTCATTTTCTCTTAAGATATCTTAATTTTCTTTTTGTATAGCTTATTTTTATTATTATTTTTCATTTCTCTTATCTTTCCATAATTATTCATTTTCCATTCTTTTAATCTTTTTAATTTCGTTTTCTTAAATTTGAAGATTCAATTACCAAGCATAGAAGTCAATACCAAATTTTTCAAGCATTTCCTAATTTTATTTTTATAAAACTTCATCCTTATTTTTTTTTGATGCATATCTTGTACCAATTAGTTTCCATTATTCTTAATATTTTTTATTATCATTCAATTATAAAACATGATCATTCTCAATTTTTAAATTCTCCATTAATTAAAAACATTATTGTATTACATAACATTATCTTATTATTTAATATAATTCCTTATTTTGAATAATAGTTACAGCTTCTTATTAAGACATAAGACTTTATAACATTTCTAAGGATTCTTCAAAGAGGCATAAATCCCTTTAAAAGATTTATCTTTACAATAATAATTTAGGAAGTTGTTTAATTGTTTAGACTGTTTAAGAAGCATTCTAAAAGGTTTTTTAAATTAATTATAAATTAATAGGAGGTATTTTAGAATTAGTTCTTGGAAAATCCTTATCTACAATAGCAATAGCTATAATAATTGGGGTAAATATTGCATTTAAATATACAGATTCACTTTATTATTATAGATTTAATTATTAGATGAATTGAGTTGTCAAATATTCAGTCATTTGAGAATACATTCTTTAGACTATTGAATTATTATCTTATTTTTATTATAGATTAGGTTATTTTTTCATTAATAGATGACTAAATTCTTTATATTGATCATTAATTTTAATAATTGATTATTTTGATAGCCATCCTTTGCTTTAAACTTCTTTTGCAAGAGATATGGTGAATTCAAAAATTTCATTAGTTTTTGATTATAATTATTACATTACATACTAAAATAAATAATAATACATTACTAATTATGTTTTTCCATCCTTTAAATCATCTACAATTGGTTTAGATTCTAAAGCATCTCTAATTTCTTCCATCATTTATATTCTGAAAGGAGAAAAGGTTGGATGAGTTCTTTTCCTTTATTTTGATTCAATGGTTCTTGATTAAATAGTTAATTAAGATTATGGTTATGATTAACAAGATAATTATGATTATGGTTATTATTATTATTATTATTATTATTATTTTCTTCTTTCATCTATGAATGCTCTTTCAACAGTTATTTCTTAATATTAAACTGGTATACTATATTCTTATTATGGTAATAAATCATCATTTAAATATTCCATCTCTTTTAATACTTATGGAGTGAATAAACTACCCAATAAGGATACTTATTAGATTTATGGTTATTTTTTTAATTATTACTATCTTAATCTTTATGGAGATTCACTAATAGGAACAGGTATATTTTATTATTCTTAATCATTAATAAATTTATTAGCACTATTGATTTGATATTTAATTTCTGAATTATTGAATTCATTTTTATTTTCACTTGTAACAATATTATTATTTCCATTAGTTAATTCAAATTTATTAAGGAGATCCTATTTTAATGGAGATTAGAATAAAAGTGGTTTTTCTAAACTTTATTTACTAATTCTTAATTCATTTTAATAAAATTAGATTTATTCTTAAAGTTGTTATTTGAATGTAACAGAATCTAAATTAATTTATATTATATTACCATAACTTCCAAATTAAGGGATATCATATTAATCATCATCTCTTTATTGTGTATCCTATGGTATTTAATAGAATTAATCTTAATTATATTGTTAATCTTCTTGATATTCTTATTCATCTTAATTTAATTTATTTGAAAAATCTTAAATATCATCATAATCATCAGATTTCTAATCTGATAATTTTAATTATTTTTTAACACTTGAATATTGATATTATTATTTATATGATGGATAATCTTTATCATAATATGGTTGAACTGATTTGAGTTATTTTGAAGATTTGGATTATTTTTATAATAATTGAATTTCCTTTTGTAATTTTAATCCTTTCATAGGATCAAAGACATATGAATCATTAGAATCTAAATGTACTTCTTCATCATCTTCTTCTTCTGTAATAGTACCACAACGTAATTGCTTATCAAAATATTGCAATAATTAATTGTCAATTTGTAATGCAATTTATAAATTTTGTTCAAATTTGATTTGATTATAATTTTCCAATTATACAATTGCCTAAGTATTCAAATATTATTCTAAAAATGATTAGATATTTTACCATCAAAAGGGTTGTATCCATAACAATCAATGTAATTGATTAAAGCAATATAAGTGTTGGATTTGTTAGGTTAGTAATCCCTCAATTATTATTCACATTCATATGCTAGTAATGCAAAGCGTTGATGCTATTATCGATCCTCTGAAAATAATTAATAATAAGGATACAATTTTCCTCTAACTGCTTTTATTATAAATAAAGTTGTAATTATTGCATAAAAATTAATGTTATTTATCATCTGATCATTTTATTTCTATGATAATGATAAAAAATAAATAGTTAATAACATATTTTAATAAATCGAGTATTCAAAAAAGAGCTAAATCCTCATTGAATTATGTTGTTTCTGTGAAGTAGCATAATGTTGAATAATCACATAACAATTCAATAAATAGTCTGAACACTCGCGTTATGGAGGTCTATGAATAATAATAGAAGGATGATTAAGTTCAGATATAAAGATTATTGATTAAGAAGTAACTATTAGAGATTAGAATACGACATGAAAATGAGAAATACGAAGAAACACTTAAAAATTATGAGCAATTATTATAACGATTAGAATCAATGGAACATAGCCAAAAAGAGTACATATCATAAATGAATTAATTGACTGATTGTTTAAGAGAGATTGTATAATAAAACAATGAGATGGAGAGTGCCTATGATGACAAATGTAAAGAATATGATAGTTTGATATAAATAATTAATAAATGAATTAAATAATGGATTCAGAAGGTGATGAAGCTATATTAAAAGCAGGAGATATCATATAAGGAAGATTTCGTATAGGAGATCTACTTGGAGAAGGATCATTTGGATCTGTCTTTAGGATTTATGATACATAGAACAACAATGAAGTCTTTGCAATCAAAGTAGAGTAAGAATTGGAAGAAGAAGAAAGTATGTTAGAAAGAGAAATCAAGATTATGATGGAATTGAAGTATTTTACTTATGCATTCTATTCATTTTAGGAAGAAACCTGGGTTCCCATAAATATTATACTATGGATAAGAGAATCATTTTGTTTATTACATTATGAATGTACTTGGACCCAACCTTGAAATTACTAGCAAGAAATGTGGAGGGTCTTTCTCTCTTGTAACTATGTTGAGATTAGCTATTCAGGTATATGAGTATTTTATTGTTTAGTGTAGATGCTTAGCCGAATCGAAACGTTGCATTCAATGCGTCTCATTCATAGAGACATTAAACCTGATAATTTTGTATTAGGATTGGGATAATAATAAAATATATTACATCTTATTGATTTTGGATTATCTAAATTTTATGTAAATTCTAAAGGTGAACATATCAAATAAGTACGTAAAAAAGGATTAATTGGAACAGCCAGATATGCTAGTATTAATGCTCATAATGAACTTGAATAAAGTCGTAGAGATGATTTAGAAAGCATTGCTTATATCTTAGTTTATTTAGCTACTGGATCTCTACCTTGGATGAATTTATAAATTGAATAAAAAGATCTCAAATATGCTAAAATATTACATTTAAAAAAATCAACAACACCAGATGTTGTATGTAAAAATCTACCAGCTTGCTTTAATAAATTTTTAACTGCTGTTCGTAAATTAGATTTTATCACAACACCTGATTATGGAACTTATAAGAAATTATTCTAAAATGAATTAGAGAAACATTAAGTTTAACCATACTATGATTGGGAAGTAGTGGGAGATAATTCAACAAAGAAGAAGAGTAACACAATGCATATTATGCCAGTATTAATTATAATTAATTGAAGGAACAATTAAAACAGAATAATAGTCCTAACAATCTACATATTATAAATAGTAATGGAAATAATAATGGATCAAATAAAAATACTATGACTTATGGTCAAGATCAAATCATTGAAAGTGATATGGATAAGAAATTGAATTTGTAAATTTCAACAAAAGGTGTTGATAATAAATAATTTGAAAGGTTTGAATAGATTTTGTAATAGAATCAGAAGAAATACTATAAGATGAATAGTTCAAAGAGATAAAATTCTGGAAGAACTAAAACTCCTATGATGGTGAATGTTCTTGAACCAGATGTAATTAAAATTTATAGTATTTAGAAACAAATTCAATAATAATAATAATATGAATAAGTGTATGATGAAGTATAATACATTGCAAAATCAGCTAAATTCTTGTAACCACCCTCTACTCCAAATGTTAGAAATTCCTCTTCTATAATAAATCCATATTATATTCCATCTTTAAATACTTCATAAGTGAATAATTATGATTGGAGTGAAGGAGAAGAGATAAGTAATGAAGGAACTCCATTATGGTGTATGTATGATGAAAAAGAGAGATAAAATGTTATGACTGGAATATAACCTAAAAAAAAGAATTCTATAAAACACAATAGTTTTAGTGCTCTCCAATATCCAATTTAGAATCAAGTAAAAGGAAGTGATGAAGAATTATTTGATATTGAATGATCATTAGTGTTGTTAATTTATATTCATTTATGGTTTCAATTGTAATGGTATTTATATAGCCATCTCTTCTCCAATAGATAGAAGATCTGAAATTTAGAAAATTTGATCATCTTCAGGAAATTTTAATATTTTAGATGCTTTGAATAATGCTTTAACTTAATCTCCTAAAAATTACTTTAATTTTCTATTAATTTTATAATAATATCTATTTGATTTCCTATTTTTAGCAGCAATAGCCTTATAAGAATTGAATACACTTTCTATACTTAGATGTTCCTTAGTTAAGAAACTGGATTTCAATTACTATTTAATTTATTCAGCCACTTCAATTAAAGACATCTATTTTAAAGATAATTATTTAGAATAATGAAGAAAATTTGTTTCTTTATCTTTTTCATTTATTCCAATTACTGGTTTAGGAGTATAATTAAATAAAATTAATTAATCACGATCTAATAGAATTTATTTTAATTTTTCAACTTAATGAATTCTATTTAATATTGAAAATACATCTAATTCTTATCTAACACTATTTAATGATTTTTATAATAAAAATAATTGACTATCTTATTTATAATTTGCTTTTTTACAACAAAAAGAATACAAAAAGTATTTTAAACTTAAATTAATTGATTTTTTTGTCATTATTGTCTATTAAAATGTAGATAATAGAAAATGCTTTCTGCTCTTAAATTTATATTTCTCCATAATCTTTTTATGTTCTTCAACTACTTTCATCACCCTTTCCTTATATTATGGATCCTCTTCCATCGAATCCTATTTTTCTTCATTTTATTTAATTTCATCAAGTTTCCTTTTTTTTGTTTTAGTACCTCCCTCTTGTTAAGTTTAGGAACTAATATGAAATGGATCTACTAGACCTGACCCTTTAGTTCCTTAATCAGAATCTGTATTAAAATCATAATCATAAAGTCTATTAGAAATTTCCAAATAAACTAATTATTATTTTATTATTACATTATGTTCTATTATAATATGTTATAAGTACTCCAACAATAGATATTACTGATTATGATAATCCACCTATTTTTGATAATAAATCAGTTATAGTCTAATACTCTCGATTATAATTAGTAGAGAAATTACTACGCATAAATACAATACGTGTCCATATACTATCATTCTTTCCCTCATATAATTATCTGTAAGAGTTTGTAGAAAATACACTCAAATTCTCTTCATCAAGTAATCCTCTAATATGATTTGGCAACACTACTCTATCTTTAGCTGTCCTTGGAAATCCTTTGTAATATGCTTATCAAAATGGTAATCAATTCTCTACAGATCTCCTGGATTTAATTGTAAACTCATTGAATTATCTAAATAATCTTCAGCAACAAATTCATTATTGAATGGATTTATAAACTAAATTCATTTATAATTTAACATACTGTATTCTTTGTGATAAATTATAATTGATAAGATTCATTTTCCTCTAACTCTTTACATGTTTTACCCCAACTACTCAATTCTTCACATTTTCTTACATCTATAATTAAATTCTTAAATGATAAAGCTAAAATTATCTATAAACTATCTACAATACTAAGTCCCTTCTAATTGAATGGAGAACTAAGAAGTAGGACACAACCACGTCTCCATTTAGTTAGATTGAAGAAATTCTAAAATCTTATCTGAGTTAATAAGACTTGTGAATTGTTCTAAAGTGCATTATTATAATTGAAGTCTTAAGTTATTCTTTTATTATCTTTGATTAATTATTATATCAAATGTAGGAGAATTGTAAAAGTCTTATTGATTGACCCTAATTGCAAAAATGAAATTTGTTTGATTAAGTTCTAATAGATCAGGATCATAGCTGAATTTAGTCTATCACTATAATTTTTATTATACTTCTTATGTAATCTATATACCTCTTTAGATAGTGTACCCTATTATTTCATTAACACTATAAATAATGAGTAAGAGTATAATGAATATAGATATTAATCCTCCAAATGAACTTTTATATTTTGTATTTAAATCAAGATTTAAGTTAATTGGTTATCCAAAGATATCCATCTTTCTGATTACTATATTCATATATATTATTATTACTTTAAGTTATTTGTGACATTTATAGACTTTACAAAAATGTAAAATATTATTAATTATTTAACAAATATGCATATCAAAAATCATTTAAATGGCCATCAAAAACTATTTTCTCAAGTATTTGACGCTATGATTATTCATACTAAATATAATGTTAATTTAAATGTTGTTACTTTAATTTCATCATCAATCATTCTAAATTATTAATCAGCTTATTTTATATCTACACTAGTAATTAGTTAATCTTAATTAGGTATATATCTATTTGGAATATCTTAATCTATTAATTTATCCTATTTTATCTATATAATTCATATTTACCCAATCAAAATTTTCAAACCATTGATGTCCTTTTAGATTTGCAAATGAATTGCCTAATCGTACTTCTGGTATTCTTGAAAGCAACCTAATTCTACATTATATAAATACTATTCTATTAACTTTTTGGCCTTTCTATCTTTAAAATACTATGGGTATGTAATATCATTCTTAATGATTTACTCATAAATTTCATATGGATCTTCAGCATCTTCTCCAAAAGGTACATATCCACACAGAAATTCAAATAAACAAATTCCAATAGACCATAAATCAACTAAATTATTGTACCCCTTTCCACAAATAACTTCAGGTGCCATATCTTAAATAATTGTTATAATATTACAATAAGGAGTTCCAATTATTGTAAATGTTCTAACAAGATCATTTTTAGTAGAAAAGGGTTTTGCAATTCCAACATCAATTAATTTTAAGTATCCTTTAGAATCTACCATGAAATTTTCAGGTTTAATATCACGATGTATAATTTTTTACTTGTAGAAATATTCAACAATTAATATCATGGATGCAATATACAATTAAGAATCATAACTAGAGAGCAACCCTATTTATTAATAGATATTTTACCAATATCACGAATTACATCATATAATTCTTTACCATTAACAAATTCTTATAGTAAAAATAAATCATAATCATCTTGATAAGTTCTATAAAATTTAATAATAAAAGGTGATTATAAAGATTCAAGTACTTATTTTTCTGTTTCAAAAAAACTAATTATACAATTTAAATACCTTTCCAATTAATATTATTTAATATCATATTTGTTATAAGTTTTTAAAGTAAATAGTTATTAATTAGATTTAGCTTTGACTAGATAGACAGGTCCAAATTAACCAAATGCTAATTATTTAATGAAAATCAAATCTGATTTCTTAATTGATTCATAATTATTCTATTTAATTTGATATTTCATTTTCTTTTCTTAAATCTTTTCATTCTTTTTAATTACTTCTTCAAAGAATCCTCCTATACAATCAATAAAATTATCATAACTCATCTCTGCCAATACTCCATCAGTTTCCATTACAATATCATCATCAAATCTAAGTATATAATATAAATATACAATTTATTTTTATTCATTATTAGAAAATATTCTTCTCCCCATACCTATCCTTTGGTTGCAATTACTATACCTGATTTATTTTTCTTCACACAACCTTCAACTACTACAATAATTTTCTATTAAACTGATGTTCCTTTCTTTATAATTATATCACCTGCTCTATATAATATTAATTTAAGTTGATTAATAGATTTATCAATTTAAGTCTTTGTTAATTTTTACAATAATGCATTCTTTTCAAATGCCCATTTCAATAAATTTCTAAATGTTACAATATGGATTTAATCTCCTAATAATTTGGATAATGCATCTCTTCCTACAACTAAACAAGTTATGTCATCTTCTGCTTAAACAGACATTTATCTCATTGTATTATAGAATAATGATTATTCACCAAATGTATCACCCTTATGTAACTTCTTTATTTCTTTTCCATTCTTAGTTACCATTGCAGTACCCTTATATATATATTATATATATATATACATCTTTAATAATATAAAATGAAGATCCTGGATCTCCTTCTGTAACTAACATTTATTATCTATAAAACTTAAGTGTTTTTAAGATAGAGGCAATTGCATCCTTTTATTCATTTGTAAGATCATCTATAAAATTAATTTATCTTCATTTTTACAAAAAAATCTAACATTTTCTAAGAATTTCCTATTTTCTTCATATTCTTGTAATATTTTCTCTTCAACTGCTTTTCTGAAACTCACTCTATCTATTCCAAAAAGATAACAATTCTCAAAGCATTTTACTGATGCAGATCTAGGAGAATCATATAATAAAGCTAATTCTCCAAAACCTTCACCAGCTCTTAGTTCTCTTTTTGGCTATTTATATATATATTTAAATAGTCAATACAATATCATCAACTGTCACTCCCAAACTCCCACGATGTACTATAAAAAAGCATTGAGCTTAATCACCTTGTCTAAAGAGGTAAGTTCCAGATTATGCTTCACAATAGAACATTTTATTGGCTACTTATGTTCTATTCATATATATAGACATAAATACAATTCATCTTCATTCAAATTATAAAATATGAAATGAAGTTTGAGAGATTGAATAATAAATGAAGTCTCATTAAGTCCTTGTTTAAACTCTACTATTTTCATATTCTCTGGTAAATTCAAATTACATTATTTCTAGTCTTCAGAATCCTTAATATATATTTAGATTATATACATTTGCTTATCTAATTTCTTCATCATTTATCTATTCATCAATATCCATTAAATTTAAAAAATAAATCAATCAAAATACCTCAACTCAAGTTTAAAATTACTTAAAATTGATAAATATATATGTATAATTGATTCAAAAGTATCTCAATTTAAAATTTTAAGATCTCTTTCTAAGATATATATGATAATTTATCAAATAATAATAATAATAATATTAGCATTTAAAAATAATATGTATTTTTATAATTCATTATTCTAAGAATTATTTCAATGCATTTTCATTAAACAATTATTCTTCTTCAAATCTTATAGCTTCTTTATTATCATGAACTAATAATAAAGTTGGAATTGATTTGATTTAAATCCAATCAGAAATTCTAGCAGGGTTATTTGGATCTTTCCATCTAATTATATGAGTATTTTATTACGTTTCCTTATCACCTGCCCAACACCAATATATTGTATATGCTTTTTATAATAATTATGGAATTGCATAATTCTTGATAGTAGGTTCTGCTTCAATCTGAGCATCATGATTAACCAGTTTCAGCTAGAATGTCTCCAACAAATATTAAGGCTGCCTTTCATTCTTTATTGACTTTTTCAGAATAATTGGATGTTGTGACTTAAATAACTTAATCCATTAAATATATGATTAGATAATAATCAATAATCTCAGCAGAATATTTGGTGTTTGATACAATCGATCTCATAAAGAAAGGATAATATAAACAATGTGTTGCAAAAATTAATAGATTAGTATTTGATCCTCAATTTGTTAAAGGATAGCCACAATTCTTACAATTGTAAATCTAATTATGTCGTCGACTCTTATATTGTTGTAATAAAATCCTTAAAAAGTAAAACCTACTTATCATACTAATAGATACTTTCTAAAATATTCAGATAAATCACACAAAATTCAACCGTTACTTAATCGATCGATTGAATTGAGTTTCCATTATATTGAATTATTGGAAACTTATCAAAAAGAGAATAGTAAATTTGATGGCTCTCCTCTAGCATCTCCATCTCCAACAATAAAAAAAAAATAACTTTTTAAAGAACTCTATACAGAATAATTAAGTCTAGCTCATAAGATGGAAATGTTTTTCTCTTAAGATATTGTTAATAACTATGTACAGAAATCAAATATTTGGTTCCAAGATCATTGTCATAATTGTTATATTCAACTTATAGAAACACTTCTTAATGCATATAGATATCATAAATTTAATAGAACATATTATCCATCTCTCTTTCTACATCTTTTAACTCAATTAATGACTTATTGTAATAAATAGAATACAAATAATCGTAAAAATCACAAGTTTTCTTTATTAAAAGGAGAAGTTTATATTCTCTTAGGGAATGCATACTTTGAATTAAGTATTTATTATTTATATATGTTTAAGATGATTATTCAAAGGCTGAATAGAATTACCTATCTTCATTAGATGAAGCCATTGTATCTGTTAGAAGTATTTTAGATGACATTGAGAAATTGAAAATAAATGTAGATTCAAAAATTGTTAAGATTTAAATATCAAAATTGATTAGTCAAATTATCATAAGTTTAGATTTATAATCAATAATCAATTAATAGATTGAACATTATAATCGTTGTATTGAAATTAATCAAGTTTCACATCTATTTAATAAAATACTAATATATTTTGATACTTGCAAAGAATTATAATAACATTTAGATAATAAAACTAATGAAATCAAAGATAATTATAAAGATCATGTTTAAGAAAATACAGAAATTTGTAAATTACTTTCCTTAATATTCTAAATTCCATTTAAATAATATCCTATAAATATTAATTCTACTTTTAATTTTGAATAACTTACTTAAACAGATTAATATTAACATAAATTATTTGAGAAATATGAATATTCAAAAAATAATAGTACATTTTTCATTAAGAATAAAGAATTACCACCTAAACCTAAAAATCAAACATCATAATCAATTTTAGAAAATGCAGGCCTTACATAATAATATTTCATTAGAAATTAATCAATGAAGAATTTTAAATTAAAACATAATAATTCTTAGTAATCTATTGAATAATCATCTACTAATTATAATGATAGTCAAATATAAAATAAAAATGATTAAAGTAGTCTAAGTTAAATAGATACTTCAAATATCTCTAAAATTAAATTTGGATAAACTCCAAAGATGGCACATAGATAGAGTTTTTTAAGTGAATTAATTCATTTAAGAAATTAAGGTGTAAAAACTGATAAATCTGTTATTTAAGAGACTGATGTTGAAAGAAATCATAGATAATAAAAAGAATTATTATAAAAAATTAATAATAAAAGTAAAATATTATTATTAATATTAAATAGATTTCTATTAACCCTTAGATTAAGTTGTTCATACTTATATCAATGAAAATCTTACTAGTCATTAAAAATGTTAATCACTTGAAGAAGTAAAGTAAAATGCCAGAATTATTTGTTAAGCTGAGGCAGAAGTACATAAGGAAGTACCAATAACAAAGAGTTTATTATATGCTAGAAGGATGACATGTCCTTAAGGAGTCTTGGTTAAAGATTAAAATGCAGAAAATGAATTCAATAAGTTATTAGAATTTAATGTTATAGAATATTTTGATTTTGTGTAAACCAATAAAGATTAAGCTGTTATTAGCTTAAAAGCATAATAAGAAAATTAATAAGTTAGAATAGCTTAATAAAATTTATTCTCGGAAAACTTCATTCCAAAAAAGAAGTTGAATTTTATTGAAAATGAAGAAATAAAATAATTAGAATAAGCTTAAGTAATTGCATAATAAGCTGAGAATCTCTTAAAAAAGACATAAGATAAAAGAAAATCTACTTCAAAATAATCTAGACTTTCCATTTTGTCTTTAATGTCAGAGAAAACATTTAAAAAATAAGAATCTATATGTGTTCCAATTACTTAAGAGTAAGTTATGGAAAAAGCTCGAAATTCAATTAAACATGTTATTTCTCTTAATGAAAAATAGAAAGAAGTATTCGAAGAGTAGGATCAATTTTTAAAAGAAGTATAATAATATGATTAATATATTTAGGCAGAGTTACCATATAAATTTAAAAGATCCATCTCTGGGAAACATAAATCTAAGTAAGAGTGTAAAAGTATCTTGATTAAATAAGAATTCGGATAACTCTGTTAATCGACAAAAAACATTAGAGAGAAAGATTTTAATATACTAAATAATAATAATAATAATAATAATGAATAAAAACTAAAAGGAATTATAAGTTTAGAGAAAATAAAATGAATAATAATATAGTTTTTATTAATATTGTTTCAAAATGGTTGACTTAACTATTTTAGTTATCTAGAAAATTGTGAAATGTCTTATTAAGTAAAGATTTTCACTAATTAATTGGATGAACAATTTTTGCATCCATCACATTTACAATTATCAGAACATTCAATACCCATTTAATAACATTCACAATACTTCTTTTTACAACCACTTTTTCTACAATTACATCCCTAAAATGATATAAATATAAAAATACTTTAGCATGAGCAATTTTTTAATCTACTTCCTTAATTTTTTAATTAAATGCTTCTGGATTTCTTTCCATCATTTTTTTCATATTTAGATTTCTTTCTAATAAATTTGAACTGTTATTAAAACATCCACAACAATTACATTTTGATGAACATAATTTATTAGCTGCAAAACAATCACAATATAATTTAAGGCATTTACTCTTCTTACAATTACAAGGTTTAGTTTCTTCAATCCTATAATAAAATTTAATTAATAAAATAAATTTTATTAAGTTTATATTTTGAATATGATATTTGAATTTAAAATATAATTCTTTATATCGTATTGTTATTATAAGATATATATGTTACTTACTCTTATTTTTAATTGTTTGTATTGGTTTTAAATAAATTTTATGCCAAATTATTTAAATTTCCGATTGAATTCTGTGATTAGAACTTTAAAAATGATTTTTGTTCTGAATTGCATAAGGAAATATTTTTAGTTTATGGAGTTCTATAATAATAAGTTATAAACATATACTAAAAGTTACTTTTGTTGAGTGTTTATGGAAATGTTATTTCATTACTCTAGAATATTTTCTTAAATGGTGGAGTACATAAATTTAAGTTCTTATTTGTTTCTTAGGACTCAGTGAAGATAGTATCACAGTTTCTATAAGACATTGACAAACGTATTTAAATTTTTAAAATTAAAATCAAATATTAGCAGCATTTAATGTATAAATAACATCAGTTATTATTGAGAATCATTCCATTTAATATACGAATCCTTTCATAAAGTTAATTGTGTTTCATATTACCTAATTTAGCATATTCTCTTTGTATATTTGTTATGGAATCAATTCGACCAAATTTTGACTCAAATTAATCTAATTTCTATATAATCTCATACTTTTTAGGTACTAATTATGACAATAATTTTTCATCATACACCTAATCAATATTAAATAATATATACATCTTTTTATCTAAATTTTAATAAATTATAATTGAAATCAAATCCTTTATCATAAAATTATTTCCTATTTCCTTCTTACTTAATCTTTTCTGATAAAGTATCCTGAACTCTAATGCAAAAACAATGTAATTATTTCACATAATCATATTCAATCACTAAATTACAAATTGATTTAGCCTCATTCAACAATATTTCATAAGGTTAATTAAATTGTTTTTCAAATAAACTTTATATTTCATCAACATCATATAAATTATTAGTTAGAAACTGTTTTTCAATATAAAATTATAGATCACTACATTCTTTGGATTATCTTACTTTAAATTAAATTTATTCTTTAGTAATATTATCTATTAATAAAGAGTGATTATTTAATATATAAAATACTTAATATTAAAATGTTAATTGTTTAAACTTTTGACATTCTAAATCTTCAAAGATTAATTTCTCTAAAGTTTATGGAATGTAAGGTTTCAATATTTTGATTAAATATTTAGTCCCATTAAACATTTATCCCAATCCCTATAATAATTATATAATATTACTTCAATATTTAATGGTAGATTTATTAGATTGTATGTGAGATTCATAAATCCAACAAATCTCTATTAATTATCTAATATTTCTTCTAATTTTTTTTTTCCTTTTCTTATTTGATACGTATAATCAAATGCCAATATTAATTTGTAAATGTAATACTTAAAATCAATTAATCTAATATTTTTATACACTATACTTTTAGTCTTTCTAATTAATTTAATAAGAGTAGATAGATATTTTTTGATTTTCATTAGAAACTTAATTTTATTAATCTCTTTAATGAGAATGGATTGTTAATTATGATTTGGTTAATCTAATTTTGATTAATTTATTAATTCTATCAGGGTCTTAATCTTTATAAAGTAAAGATTATATAAATTATTATTTATTATCGAAACTATTTGAATAAGATATCCTTTTATTACTAAATGATTATGTCTTATCAGTAGATTTTTGAATCTCTTTAATGGGTAATTTAATTAGTTTTATTTATGTTTGAGAAGATAACTAATTTAACAAACCTATAGAATTATCTTAATAATGAATTGTTTTGTATAATATTAATTTTCTTCTTTTATTTATTCGTTATTATCCAATAGAATTCTAATTGTATTCTGTAATGTTGTTAAGAGCATTTATTTTGGATTTAGAAGTTGCAGAATTGGAATACTTTATTATTTAATTTATCATTTTTTTATTTTCACTTTTTGATCTTGTTATTCTTTTAGTTTAAGTTGGAATTTAGAATTTCTTAGTCTTTTCAATAATTTCTTATCTATAATAAAACTTTTATCTGTTCATAAATTAAATATTTATTTAAATTCATGAGATGATGTCATCTGGTATATTATATTTTTATTCACATAAATAATATATATTATTTAATTTAATATCCTTATCTTAACTTATTATTATTTAATAATACCTTATATTAATAATCTCATTTATCAAAGGACATTAAATAATTTATATATATAAAATTAATAGTATTATAAAATAAATAAAATGATAATAATAATTCATATTATTAATTTAATCTATTTGATGATATTTTTATTGATCATCACCTTCATAGGAATGAATCTTAATGAATATCTTATTGAAAAGTAATTTCTTATTATTTGATGAATTAATAATCCATTAATACTAAATAATAACATAGATATGAAGATTCCTAAACTAAACAATAAGATAATAATCATTTCAGTTTATGAAGTTAATTAATCTTTAGCTATTTAAATAAAATAATCTGAGAATAATCTCAATTAAAAATTGGTAGCATCTAAACCCCAATATATATACATAAAGTATTCTCTTGAAAATAAAACATCCAAGAAATCTTTGAGAAACTCTTATTTTGTTTCATTATTATCATTCAATCCCAAATTTTATGTTGCTAAAAATGTTTATTAATATAATTAGATCAATCCAACATTAAAGAATTTACTTATCTCTTTAACTAAAAATCTCTATTTAAATAATTCAGTTTCTGTATCACAACCTACAAGTAAACAAATATCATTTAACAATAATGAAGCCTTATCATTATCTGGTAGATCTTTAGTAATAATTGTAAATGGTTCTTAAACCAAATTTAAATAAGATTGAATTATATCATTTTTATCTAATTCTAATAATTAAAGAATCTTATTATCACCTCTTATGTTTCCATTAATATTGGGAGTATTTTCATTAACATCAATATAATAATTATAAAATGTTTTGAAATTGTAACAATCCCAATTATTTATAAATTTAATAAATTACAATCTTATTTATATACCTGATAATGCTGTATTTACTATTGGATTTATTTAATTTGAATAACTGTTGTATTGTATTTAAAAGATAACAAAATATATAATTAATAAAACAAAAATAATTGTTTACATTATGTAATACATAGGTAGATTGAATTAATCATCTAATTTAATATTCTAAGCTCCTTAAGTTTATGTTTTTGAGACATCTTAACTCATTTCATAAAAACTTTAAAAAAATTTACTATTAAACCAAAATTCTTCATTTTTAACATTTTAAGCAACAAATTCAAGTCTTTATAATTCATCTTCAATATCACGATTATCTAATCTTTAAAAAATCTATAGAATTTATTTAATCTTATAAATAATTTATGCAAGAGTTAACATTAAAATAACATAGAAAACTAAAATTCCAATATAAAATATATAAAAGATGATCTATACCTATTAATCAAAAGCATTATTATATTCTTAACTATTTTAAAGACATGCCTCAATAAATTCTTATGTTATATCACATACATCATTAAAATTTAAAAATAAGATAGATCTTGTATTTATTTGTTAAAAAGTATCTAAATTACCTTTTAAGTAAAGTGAAGGATCACCAGCAAAAGTTTTAATTGCTAAATAAAATAATTAGTTCATTATTTCATAATAAGCTGCCTATGTTTATATAACTTAAGTTTATATTGTATAAACTTAATAATCAACAAATTTAAAATTAATTAATTTCTCATCCTAATAACTATTTAAAACAGTTTTATAATTTTCATATAAATTTATTAGATTTTAACAATTTTCTTTGTAAATCCATAATGTAAATGAAATTTTATCACTTGTTGTAATTGATACTTATATATCTTAATCAATATTAATAGTTTAATTATAGGGTATAAAATTATTAAAGTCTCTGTAAAAAACTGTGTGTCTACTACCTTTTAATATTATACCATAATAATCTAAGAATTCTGTTCCATAATATAATCTATTAAAGCATATATCCTATTCATTTCTTTTTTACAATAGTAATATATATATTACAACTAATCCAATTATAGATATACACATATTTATTAAAGAAAGAAACATGAATTATTTGATTGCTGTTGGAAGTGTTTTCTAAGAAATATAAACTAATAGATCATCAGATGATTTAACAATAGTAGCAGTACTTTATCTAGAATGTAATGATCTAACAACATTGTCATTTTATTTTGATTTACTTTTGCTTTTTCTAATAATAATAAATTTATTTTTACTTTTTTATAAACTCTTTTTTATTTTCTTCTTAATATTCATGAATTTATTACTTTTATTCACTATCAAATTAAGTTAAATCTATTAGAAGTCTATAATAAATGTAATACTCCAAACCATCTTCAGTATTATATTATATAGTTTATAGAGAAATCTCATAATCTACTTAAGATATTTTATCTACTGATATTGAATTCACTGAAGCTATACTAAATTATTCTAGCTTTTCTAATTATTTAAAAGAATCTAAATCTTTACAGATATTGCATGATTTATTATTATTATATAATCTTGTAAAACGACTCATAATTTAAATTATTTAATTTTAAAAATAGAGAGGTTTAGCATTATTAGGTGAACTATGAAAATAGATTAAATTCTCTCTTAATTAAGGTATCATTTAAAATAGATTAATTTAATTTAATTATAATTAATACTAATTTATAAGTTATTTGAATTAATTATCTGAACACATCAAATTAAAGTTATAATCCAAAAGAATTATAGCATTATTTTTTTAATTAATTTTGTACAAATATGCTATCAATTGATATTTATTCAAATTCTATTTAGGAAAATATGGAAAGAGAATCATCTTAACAGGAATTATAGTATTTGTATCTGGACTAATCATGCTTTCAATTTAAGTTCCAATAATTCTTGATTTTCCTTTTTGTAAATATTAATCTATCAATTTGATATGAGATGCTCTAAAAGAAGGATGTAATATTTAAGAAACAGAATTTAGATTAAAATGTTCATCTAATTCTAAAAATTATAATTATTTTAATGTTATTTTTGAAGTAATTTCACCAGATTCTTTCTCATTCAATGATGCAACTAAACTAATTGCAAAATTTGAAGTAAATGCTATATTAGTAAATTCATCTTCTCTATATATTTCATTTTAAATTATTTCATCTATTCTCATTTAATTATCTATTTATTCTCTTAAATTTTATGTTAAAAATGATATCAAATGACATATACGAAGTGCAAAGATATTGTTTAATTATTTGTTATCATAAATTTTAAGATCTCTACTCTTTTTTATTAAATCTTAAACTTTTTCTTTTAATTTATATAAAGCATCATAAAGTTTTTAAAAGTTTTGAATACTTAACAATTTTAATGATTCATAAAATTTGTATTTCTCTATAATTACCTTTTATAATTCTTATTAAACTATCAAACCTTCAAATTTTAATAATCTCATTTCTTCTATAAATTTTACTTGTTACTTTTATTGCATTTCTGTTTATAATTTATTTTACAAAACTTATTCCAAATATGAAAAGATTTCTAATATATATCCATTTTAAACATTCTTTTTTTAATTCAAAATAGTTTAATGAGCTTAAATTGTATTATTGGAAATATCAATCAATATCAAAATATACTGAAGTGCATTCTCTTCAGAAAATTTCTATTATAATAGATTTTTGTAATATAAATTAATGATTTAACTTATTTCTTTTTCAGATAACTTTCTTACATCATTTTTACATGGACATCTCAAAATTTAACAATGCATTAGATGTTATCTATGCAAATACAAAAATTATACGGCTTGATTATAATTTGATCTGTAATTTAGGTAACCATTATAGTATTATTAGTAAAATGATACTGATTAATAATTTTTAAACAGTAGTGAATTAGCTAATTAATTAATCATAGTCTATAAGGATTATGTAAGCTAAATTATCAAAGTAATATTACTGTAAGAATTAGCATAAAATCATATATCATTTAATCATGTCCTGTTATTTAAGAATATGAATATGCTACTATATAACTTATAATTATTGAATATACTCTTATCTCTTAAAAGTATAGTTCAGAATGGTTTATTACTATTTCTCCATATAACCATATTATCAAGTAAATAAAGTAAATTAGACTAAAATATTGCAAATAATAATTGATATCAAATAATTATGAGTACAAAATGATCTATTAAATTATCAATATATTAAACAAGGCTAATTTAGAAAATTGTTTATTTATATTTAAAGATTTGAAATGTATATTCTAAAAATAAAAGCATTATGTTATTCCAAATAAGAAAATCATTAATGTATTTAGAATGCATATTGCTATTTTTTCATTTTAATTCATATTCAATGAAAAATTTGCAGAAATTATTTAAAAAGGAATCAAAAACAATCGATCATAATTACTTAATAATAAGCGAAAGAATATGGCAGTATTGGCTTTCAAATTAAAATAAAAGGTAAACAATAAAATTATGGCAAATAATGCTATGTTACATATTGTAACAAAATAAGGGCTCAACTCTCTTAAAATTGAATTGAATATAAAAGTTAATATTGGTATTTCAGAATCGCAAATTTAAGATGCAATCATAAAAAGTTCAATTAAGTAAATTGGAATGATAAAGTATTGAATTACAAATAATTCTGTTGATTAACTTTGAGAATCATAACATTAAACTGATGCCATAAACCCTCTGTATTTTTTTATGAATTTCTCACTCATTTCACTAATTATCATAATTTTAATAAATTATTCATCTATTTCTTATATTCAAAAATTCATTTTAAAATAATTTTATTTATACATTTAATTAATATAATATTTAATACTTTACTATTTATCTCTACTCTTTTTAGGGGGGGTGAGGTGAGCTTATAATTATAAGAAGTCACTACAAGATTATTTTAGTGCCTGTTTACCTAGCTTAGTAGAAATATATAGAATCTATAGAATTATGTTCATTTATTTAATTATTGTTTAATATAAAGAATAATTTAT